CCCAGCCTGGTGCCATGTAAAAAATGTGGGGCAGCAGGAGTGTGGTGTGTTCTGCATGGGTTGACATCTAGCAGTGTGTGTGGAGCAGGGATGGGAAGTGTGGAGCAGGGATGGGAAGTGTGGAGCAGGGATGAGGCTTGTGCAACTCTAGGCTTTCTGGGTTCCAGGAGCAGCAGCATGGAACCTCACCAGCTCTAGAAAGTCCTATCCTCAGCCTCCTTCTTCTACTGGGCTGAGGTATTTGGGAGTCAAGAGCAAAGCAGACAGTCAGTGCTGGAAGTGACCCCTGGCATTGGATAGTGATCATTCTGCGTCTCTCCCACACCTTCATGCAGTAATCTTGTGGGATACACGGATGTAAAAGGGTGGTGATCAGAACACATCTGCCCATCTTCCTGGGCATTCCCTTCAGGCTACCTAGCAGTGATCCTCCATCTTTGCTTAGAACAGAGATTTGTTCCCTCTGGGCTGTGACAGGGCCAGACTTTTCCTAGATGCCCTCGAGTATTGTCTCCTGTAGCCCTTCTCCAGCTTCTGTATTTTCTTGACTGATGGATTAAGAGCGCTTGTGTCCACAGTTCATCTTCTCTGCTGTTTCTGATCTTCCTCCTTATGAGGCAGAAACTTACATAGGTCTCTTCTGTAACTGTTGTGTGAATATTGCAGAGTTTGGATCTGGGTTCAGCTGTAACATTTGAGACTGTGTTCCATTTCCTAAAGGGTTCCCTACTGTTTCCTTTTCCATGCGTGTCTTGCAGTGCTTTGTGGACAGACCATTTCCTCTGCCTTGATTTCCTTGGGGTGCCTCTGACAAAATCACCTGACATGATGTAGGTGGGTCTGTTGATGGGGTTTGTGTTTGATTTCACATTTCCAGACTCTGTTCCTTCCCTGTTGCACTTTCTGGGTCTCTGATGGTTTGTGGGAAGTGCTGGGACCAGAGGTGCAGGGTCCGGAGGAATCATTTCTGCCCTCTGTGGTCTCTTGTAGGATTAGATCCAGTTGGTTGTTAGAGTTGGTGTTTGGGCATAGGATTGGCATTTTACTGGTTCTATACAAGAAAAGATCTGTCACCTTAAGAACAGTGAAGAACAGGGGTGTCTGAGAGTTTATATTCCTTTGGATTTTTCTCAGCCATCCCAAAGTGTTTTGAATGTCAATTAGGATAAACTCAGTTGGAATTCTACTTCAGAACTTCAGTGTTTGTTTGTTTGTACATTGTTTCTATGCAACACCAATGAGATACAGTACAAGTGGATGACTTCATGTGCACCATCTCAAGTTATTGATGGCCTGGAAAAGAGGGTCCCTGGACACTGCCCTTCTCAGGCAATCCAATCTAGAGGCCATGCAGAGATGAACATTCCCTTTCCAAGATTCTCCTGAGGCACTTTCTTGATTTGCTCAGGCAGGTTTCCTGGGTCATCTGTGAGGACAAAGAGGCTTACTTGACCATTCTACAATGTCAAACATACACACAGCATCAAAGTGAGACAGAGATTCCACAGTAACACACCCACCGGGAGGCTTTCACAAGGGGATCCTCCTGTTGTCCCCAGATCTTGCTGACAATTGGGGGTGGTGGTCTGTTGTTGGATGCTGGAACAGAAACCATTTCCTTGCCCTCCACAGCGTGTCCTCCTGAGGCAGCTCCTCTAGAGCTCAGGAAATGACCTGCTGGTTTTCTTAAGAAGGGAAGTGGGGTGTTCTCTCCTCCATCTTTAGCACTAGGACTGAGTGTGCATGTTTCAGGTCAGGAATTCTCTGGGTATATGTTTCAGGATGTGACCAGACACCTATAAGAGAAACAATTTAAACCAATGAAGACGCTGGCTGAGAGTTCCACATTCCACAAGCGTAATACCTGCTGCCTTGGCAGATAATGGCAGGTTTACTTTTAGTGGAACTTAGGGACTATTGAGGCGGGTATAATAATGCCCATTGTATTTCAATGTGACCTTCCCTAGGCCAACATCATTAGGGTCCCTTCAGGGACCTCTGGCTGCAGGGAATGATTTCTTATGGCTGCCCTGCTACTTTCAGGGTCCGGCTCTGGAAACAAAGAAGGAAAAGCAGTTCTCTAGCATCATGTCTAAACACAGGCACTCTACTTCCTGAACCCCACCTCACTTACACTTGTCTACACCAGACAGGATACATACTTGGTGAAAATAAGCTTCAGTAATAGAACATGTCCAAAGAACCTGCAGATGGTAGGAGAGAAAGCATGGCAAATGAGAAATCTAGGGGTGACCATGAACCTCAAAGTCACCCGGGTGGACCAAACTGGTCATCGTGGTGGGTCAATGGCCCACTGGGCAGAATTTAAGCAGTGTTTCAATAAACATGCTATGTCCCAAAGAGCATCCCAAGGACTCAGATTTGTCCACTGTGAGGTGGAGACCCGAGCACAGTTTTGGGATGATGTGTGTGAAGGTCCTGCTACAAGTAACTGGTACTGATTGCATCTGCTCCTGCTCCATCCAGCAGACAGACAGTGAAATGGGGAGGTGATATATATATATATGGGGGCCTGGTCCTCAGCTGACTTCTCTTCTCTCAGGTAAAAGGCTAACGGTAGCAACATGCCTCCCTAAGTAGCAGGGACACACAAAATCCCCATCAGATTCAATGCAATTCTCAGTACAAGAAGAAATAAACTTCACATCTGTTCATACTGAGATTTGCCTCCTTAGAGATCATCACCTGGGTCTGGAGCCACAGTTATTCTCTTGGGCTGTAGTCCTGGGATTCACTAGCCTGCCTCCAGCACCCAAGTCTCCCTTCCCAGGCCTTAGCTTTAGTGAAGTGCATAAAGACTGAAACATCCCACTGATGTAGAAAAGCTGTGGCCACATAAGCAAGAAGCTCAGTGTTTCTGGGTTGGTTTTCCTTGCAAGGCTGTGTGCACCCTGTGCTCATGGTTCTTCAGCCCATTACAGTCTAAGAAGCTGGCCAGTGGGAGAATGCTAGTCTTCCTATATAGGTTTAAGAAGATATTTACCCTCTTCTCCACAGACTGCTCCTCCATAATGGTTTGGGGACAGAGCATCACAGGGAAGGGATGTTCTACTTGCCCCAAGTTATCCCAAGATCCCTCTGAATACATGCATTTGTTGTCTCTCCCTGCACCTTAGGTCCTCTGCATCATGAGCTCAATGACCACTCTACCTGGAATTGAAAAATGCTAGCTTTGGCAGCCTCATGCTTATTTGTCTATAGACCAGTGTCAAGGCTAGACCAGATCTCAGAAAGTTCTCTCCTACAACAGGACCAAACTTAGTGGTCTCAGTGCTGCCCTCAGCCATGTGAGACCTACAGATGAGCCCTGGCATTCAGTCCCTTCTGAGTGTCCACTCTTTTTTTTTTTTGTTTGTTTGTTTTTTTGAGACAAGGTTTCTCTATGTAGCTTTGGTGCCTGTCCTGAATCTCGCTTTGTAGACCAGGCTGGCCTCTATCTTACAGAGATCCGCCTGTCTCTGCCTCCCGAGTGCTGGGATTAAAGGCGTGCACCACCACCGAAGTCTCTGAGTGTCCACTCTTAATGGCTGAAAGTAGTGATCTGCCTGGAGGTCCTCCACAGTACCACCAAAGACAGCTTTCACAGGAGGATGCCCGAGGAGACAGCCTGGCTGAATGCCCCAATTCTATGGTCAACAAGGCTCTGTCTAGGTCTGACCTGTGATACGGGATCAGAATAAAATGTAGTTCCCAAACTGCTCACTAAGTCATGTGTCCACTGTGCCCCAGGACAGGCAAGCAATACCCACCTTCCAAAGTGGAGCAACATTCCAGCATTCCATCCACAGTGATACCCATTTCCTTCTAGCTTGCTGTCACTTTCCTGTTAGGAGACAAATATGGATCTGATAAACAGCCCACAGTAAGGTTCCTTCACCAACAGCAAGACTGAACCAGCATGCAGGGGGACTGTGTCCCTTGTGATGAGAGGGACAAAGGGACATAGGCAGGCTGCAAACACAACAGCAGGGAGGGAAGAAGCGGGAGGAGGAGATTCACCTCTGCCCCAGTGTGAAGAAACATCTCCCTTGGACCTGACCTTGAAGGGGAGACAGATGAATAAGTATTGCCGTAGTATGTCCTTGAAGACTGGCCCTAGGGGCTTCTAATTCATGGGCACCTTTGGGTGGGGTTTTGGCACAAGGCTCCCCTCTGAAAAAGATGCTATGGAAGGCCAGCCCTGGGACAGATCCCTTGTTAATGATGGGTTCCTATGGTAAAACCTGTGGTAGATGGCTTACCTCCTCCTGTGCTGAACTTCTTTCTCCAGGGTAAGTGGACACACTGCCATCTGGACTTCGGCAAGGCTCCCACTTTGGCTGTCTCAGTCACACCAGGAAAATTCCTACCCAATGTCTGAACCTGCAAAGAGGCTTATCACTTCAAAAGATAATGATGACATATGGAAGGCACGGTCTTAGGATCTTTGAAACATATAATATGTAGTCTTGACTCTTATATCCTCCTGGACCATCCATTTTCAAGTGGCTCCTCGCCTCTTCCTCTTTCTTGGCCTTTGGTGTTTCTTCCCCGAAACCTTCGATCCAATCTAATTCTTTCCTCCTTTAGCCAACTCATTCTGGCTGCCTCTGCAATCTCTGCTTCTCATGCTCTGCTGTCCACCTTCAGCTAAACAATTTCCTGTTAATGGTGGTGGTGCTGTGGGACTGTTCCTTTGGAAACCAGATTTGCTAATCTGCATACCTATAATTATCCTGTGTTGGTTGCAATGAACATTAGAAAATATTTGGATTAAGAAACACAGAAGTGGGCTGGAGAAATGGCTCAGAGGTTAAGAGCACTGACTGCTCTTCCAGAGGTCCTGAGTTCAAGTTCCAGCAACCACATGGTGGCTCACAACCATCTGTAGTGAGATCTGGTGCCCTCTTCTAGCCTGCAGGCTGAACACTGCATACATAATAAATAAATAAAATTAAAAAAAAAAAAGAAACACAGAAGTGCATCCTGGGCACCCCATGTCACTGCATGTGTGTACCTGCACTGCTCTCCACTTCCAGTGGTACCACTTTCTTCTTAGAAAGGCAGCAGCACAGGAGTCTCACCCAGTTCCCAATTCTCTTCTTAACCCTTTTCCAGCCTTGAGATAGAATGCTGGCAGAAGGTGCAGTTTTACCTTCAGGAGGGACAGCTTCAAAGTTGTTTTTGAATGTTGCCTGAAGGGAAGACCTCTGGGTTCCATGGGTGGCAGTGGTGGTCACACCCTGAGGTGCCTCCCTGTACTTCTTTACAGATGGTTTCCTCTGAGTGTATGAGCAATTCTTTAGGGTGTTCATTTCCTGGGGTGCCTCCCAGGACAAGTACTGTGCAGAAGAAATGCCCTCAGAGAATGGGCATCTTGAGAACAGTCCCTTGCAATTCAAGCTATCTACTGTTAAAGTGTTCATGAGGTGAGTAACCTCAGGAGAATCCTTGGGGACTGGGTGGGGAGGGTTATCCCCCTTCTGCTGGAAGCCCAGGATGGTAGGCATGCTCAGGCGTCTGCTCCCCTTCTTCCATGATCTCTTCTCATCCTGCATCAGGTGTTCATCCAGCAAGGCAAAGGTGTGAAGGGAAGGCTCACTCCTCAGTCTCCTCTGAGGAAGAAGGGAAGTGAGAGCATCTACTGGTGACATGGCAACACAGGCCTGCATAGGCTTCACAGCATAGTTAGTGTGGTCCTGGGCTGACTTGTGTTTTAAAATTAGGTACGTGGCCATGATGTTATTGAATTTTTTCTCACGTATACAATTACTAATATCCTTGGGATCGTAGCCCATGCCCCACATAGCCACCACAAGGCTGGGGTTTGGGATGGTATTGTATGTCTCTGAGGATAGTGGGATTTTCCAAAATTCTTCTCTGTCCTTGAACCACTGGTGCTGCCTAATGTCACTTATCTTGGGTCTCTGCTCAGGCATCACAGTGAGTAACTGCACAATGAGGTTTACAATGTTTTGAGAAAGTGTGGAAGGAATGTAGTACCGGGGATTCAGCATCTCCTCCTTCATGTCTGAATAGGTCCTTGCTTTGAATGGGAAGCACGCTGTCACCATCGTATATAAAACCACTCCCATGCTCCAGATGTCCACCGCCCTTGCGTCATACTCTGTGTCAGTGAATAGTTCTGGAGCACAATATTCAAGGGTGCCACACAATCCCTTGGACCTCTGCCCAGAGGTGACTCTGATGGCCAGGCCAAAGTCACACAGTTTGATGTTTCCTTTGCCATCCAGCAGGATGTTATCTAGTTTGATGTCCCTGTGTGCAATGCCATTCTTATGGCAGTAGTGAACTGCACACACAATCTGAGTGAAGATGTGCTGGGCCTGCTCCTCCTGCAGACAGCCCACTTTCTCAATATGGCTCACCAGATCTCCCCGAGAAGCATGCTCCATCACCATGTAGGTGTGCTGTTCGGAGTTGATGATGTGGAACACCTTGATGATGTTTGGGTGGTCCAGCGTCTTCACGATGTCGACTTCAGTTCTGTTGTTGTGGTCAGTGTTCTCACCACTTTCCAGGATCTTGATGGCAACCTGCACCTCTGTGTGGAGGTGGCAGGCCAGCTTCACCTCAGCAAAGGTCCCTTTGCCAAGGGTCCTGAGTATGATGTAATGATCTGTAAGGTTCTCCTCTTGAGAGGTGCTGGCCTTCAGGTCCAGCTGCATTGTCACCTCCTCTCTGGTCTTGCTATTATGTCTCTTGATGGTTTCCATGGCAACACCAACTGGACAAAACCAGATTAAAACAATGAGAAGTAGGTCCAGGGGAAGAGTTTATGGCTTTCAATTTCTACATAGAGAAGTGTCAGGGATGTGAAGCAACCTTACAGTGAACTTATGGGTCACAGAAGAATAAGAATAAACTAAACTCCCAAAAATTACCTTGTAAACATTCTGAAGATTAGAACTGAACCTAAAAAAATGGACAATAATGAACATGCCAAAGGAAAGGCTTGATTATTGAAAAGTAAGAACAAAACAGATACCTTACCAAAAGTGATCAAGTATAAGAGACAGTGTAAATCTATAGGCACGCTATGGTGCTGTTATAGCAAAAATGGCGAAAATCTAAAGAATCAATTGGAAGTTTTTTTTTTGTCAATCAACAAGTGGTTTTATTTTGATATAGACATGATGTACCTATTCTGTCAATATTTTTGACAATAAAATGTGTCAAATCTATGCAAACCAAACTATTTCATATGCAGTCTTGGGAATAAATTTTGCTTCCTTGTTCACCACTGAGTTCCCAATCACTGAAACAATGGAAATCATATAATCATGAACACTTGGGATACTTTCTTAATGAAACGATAGACTACAAATGGTAACATAGAATCAATATTTCTGGAGAAAAAAATAAATCAGAGGGACTAGAAAGAAGCATGAAGCACAGTTTAGCAGATGCTGTCTTGTGCTGAGGGAAAGGAATACAGAAGGATAAGGAAACAAAGAATGTATTTCAGATAAAACAGGACTGATGAACACATGAACTCACAGTTGAGATACTTTCTTTATGAAATTATAGACTACAAATAGTAGCATAGAATCAATGTTCCTGGAGAAATAACTAAATCAGAGGGACTAGAAAAATAAGGAAGCATAATTTAGCAGATTATGCTGAGGGTCAGGAATGCAATTTTCAAAAAAGAATTTCCATTACCACATTTTAAAGTAATCCTCTACCAGTCTATTCCATCAAATTTACATATTTTTCCTGTTCCCAAATTGTATATTTTACTCTGAGACAATTTGGTGAATATGATGATATTGTGTTTGTTAATGCTATACTGAAAAGTGGTCTCTAATGAGGAATATCATTCTTTATTAGTTAATAGTCATTTGCTTTACTCTAACTCAATTTATGAAACATTTCTTAGAAATCCATGATATCAATCATATATTTTAAACCATATGTACATTTATAACTTATTTTTAATTTAATTTTTAGTGTTTTTGATAATTTCAAACATGATTATTCAAGTTATATTATTTTCTTTTACTTCTCTATTTTTTCAGATCTGACAATGTTTCTGTAAGGGCAAGTATAACAAGTAGGTTTCCTGATAACATGGTAAGTATGAAGGCAATATCCCAAAGGTTTCTCTGTTCTCTATGTAGAGATATACCAAAAAGGCTATTTAGGAGTCAATAATGTCAACACTTTTCTCACTTCAATTGCTCAAGTTTCCTAGTACTTTTATCTGTATTTCTTTTAATAGTGAAGATAATTTTTTATTCTTCTCTCAAATATTACAATCTGACCATAGTTTTCCCTCTCTTACCTTCCCCAGACTCTCCTCCCCTCTTCTCCAGTTCTACTCTCCCTCCATCTCCCCTCAGAAAAGGGCAGGCTTCCCAGGGACATCAACCAAACATGGCATAATATACTATTATAGGCCAGGCACTTATTGTCACATCAAGGCTGGACAAGACAACCCAGTAAGAGTAAAAGGGTCCCTTAAGTAGGCAAAAGAGTCATTGATTAACCTACTCCCACTGCTAGGAATCCCACAATAACATCAAAGTAGTCAGCCAAAACATAAATGCAGAGGACGTAGGTCAAACCCCTACAGGCTCCCTGATCTCTGTGAGCCCCCATGAGTCCCAGTCAATTGATTCTGTGGGCTGTGTTCCCATGGTGTCCCTGACCCCTCTGGTTCCTCTGATCCTTCATTTGGAAGTATTTTTGAAAACCTATACTGGCATGAATTGTAAAACTGCAGCAAATGGCCAAATTCATAAACATGTGTAAACTACCAAAACTGAAAGAAAATATATAAAACCCTAACTAGATCATTAATCAGAAACATAATTAAATATTCATTGAAAAAAATCTCAAGAAAACAGCTTTTGTCCGGTGACATGATTGGGTTCCATCTTGCTGCATAGCTGTAAAAAGGCCCCATGGAAACCCCCAGAGCTAACATTTCCTGCTGAGACTATTGCTTACACACAACCTTATTGTTATGCCCTATTGCTGACCCATGTATGTCAGCCAACATGGAGAAGTTGAACTGGTGCATAACTAGAAGATTCATAACCAATTCATGATTGACATTCATGATACTGGAAAGTACTCTGTATTCTACTGAAAGAGAAAGATAATCATCACTATCATTCAGCTACAAAACCTTAGGACAAATGTGACCTATTTGCAAAATGGATTAATACAATAGTGGCACAAATCTATGACAGTAACCAGTTACTTTCTGATTGGATTTAAGGCCCACTGCAGGAATGGAAGCCATACCTGATACTGCTAAGGTGACTGAAAAACTAAGATAGATCATGGCCTAGGCAAAAACCAGATACTATTATTCTGCTAAAGGAACCCAGTGATGAAATGACTCTTGATGACATACTGCTGTATCTAAAGATTAAAGTCTCAAACAGCCTTCACCAGTGAAACCCCTTTTTCAAGGAGATGGAACACAGAGACTCACAACAATGTAGAGAGAGTGTGAGACTTTGTAATATGCAGTCCTAAATGGGATGGCTTCATGAAACCCTTGCCTTAAGGTTCAAGGAGGTTTTTGGAAGAGGAAGCAGAAAGATAAGGAAACAAACAAACAAACAAAACCAGTGTATTTCAGATATAGCAAGACTGATGAACACATGAACTCACAGAGATGGTAGCAATACACACTAGTATACAAAGGTTCAAGCCAGATGGGGGTTCTAGTATTGAAAAGGGGAGATGGAAACAGGGTTCCATCCCTAACCAAGGAGACATCTGCAACTTTTTCCTGCTGGCAAAGGAAGAATCACTTTTCTCCAATAGAATCTTACTGAGTATCTTAACCACTCCTCTGGGTAGGACCCATGCCCTGGAATCATTGGCAAGCACTAAATGAACTCAATAGAATTTTGGCACACTACTGGGCTCATTTTCCTTTCTTTAGGCATTCTATAGGCCTTTATTGCTTATTTTGTTTTTTTGTTCTTCTTGTTTTAATTTTTAAATAGATAAGAGATAGACTATAATACAAGATGGGTAGAGAGGTGAGGAGGGTCTGGGAGGAATTGAGCAAGGGGAAGATGATCAAAACACACTGTATAAAAGATTTCAATGATGAAATGACAAAGAAATAAAAGACTAATGTGAACGTATTTATTTTTGAATTCTACCCAACTTTAAAAAAGAATTATTGCTAATATTCCTCCAACTATTCAATAAGTGAGAAGGGAAGAGACAATTGGCAACATGTTCTACAATGTCTACAGGAGCCTACTGCCAGACCTGATGACCTGGGCTTCCTCCCTTGATCCCACATGTTGGGAAAAGAGAATTGACTCCCACAAGTTGTACTCTTACTTCCATGTGTGTATGTTGTAGCTGTAGTTTTCCTGTGTCCCGGCCTGCCGGCAGTTGGGACAAATCTCTCCCACTTGCGTCCCCCAAGTAAACACACAGAGACTTATATTACTTATAAACTGTATGGCTGTGGCAAGCTTCTTGCAATCTGTTCTTATATCTTAAATTAACCCATTTCTATAAATATATACCTTGCCACGTGGCTCGTGGCTTACCGGTATCTTACATCGTGCTTCTCCTTGTGGGGGCTGACAGCGTCTCCCTGCCTCAGCCTTCCACTTCCCAGAATTCTCCTCCCTCCTTGTCCTGCCTATACTTCCTACCTGGCTACTGGCCAATCAGTGTTTTATTTATCAATCAGTCATCCATCCACAGCAGTATGTTGTGACACAGACAGAAAAATACACACCCAACAAAATAAATAGAACAAAATAACCCTAAATGTAAAATAAACAGAAATTATAAGCCAACAGTTTATGTACCTAGATATAACAATCCTTAATGAAAGTACTTGAAACTTTCCAGTAAGTTCAACAACACATAAAAGAGGCCATGTTCATGCTCAAGATGAGTTCACCACTGAAGAACAGACAGACAATTTTAATATAAAACTTGACAAATAGAACCATCCCCTGCTGCATCAGCAACCACAGGCCCCACCTGCACCTGAATGGTGGAAGAGGTGAGTGTCTGAACTCCTGACTGGACAGCCTTGCTCTCTATATCCTAGCTCATGGGGGGTGGGATGGGGCGCACATCCTATGCCCCTCCCCGACCCATTGCATCCCCAGCCACCTGGTGGTAGCATAGGCCCATCCACAAACCTCCCCTGCTGCATCAGCTGTCACTGGAGCCACAGGCCCCACCTGCACCTATGGGAGAAAGAGGTGAGTGTTTGAGCACCTGGCTGGGCAGCTCTCCTCTCTAGGTCCTAGCCCCTGGGTAAATGTCCTGTGCCACTCCTCCACCCACTGCTTGATGGAAAAATCTATCAAGAACACGTCTCCATTCTGAACATTTATGCCCCAAATACAAGAGCACCCACATTTGTAAAAGAAACATTACTAAAGCTCAAATCAGATATCAAATCCCACACACTAATAGTGAGAGACTTCAACACCCCACACTCACCACTGGATAAATCTTCCAGACTGAAACTTAACAGAGAAATAAGGGAAACAACAGATGTTATGACTCAAATGGACTTAACAGACATCTAGAGAACATTTCACCCAAACACAAAATACATGTTCTTCTCAGCACCTCATGGATCCTTCTCTAAAACTGACCAAATACTCAATAACAAAGCAAAACTCAACAGATACAAAAAATTGGAATAACTCCTGGTATCTTAATTGAATCACCATGGCTTAAAGTAAGAATTCAACAACAACAC